TGTGTAAGAATGACTGTCAGTATAAAAGCAAAGGTTAAACTTTTTCCTAATTTTATAAATTCCAGGGAGAAACACATCTCATCTTTCCTAAAAAAGCTTCAGTGGAGCAGCTGCAAAAAATCCGTGACCTCATTGCTGTAGAGAGAAGTAGCAGATTAGATGGACCAAACAAGAGCCACAAAGAAGAGTTATCTCAGCAACCTGCAGCCAGTACCCGGCTTCCTACAGCACGGTCTTCAGATCCTGATGGATTAGCCCAGCTTGCAGGGGACCGGCAAGGGCAGCCATCAAATCCACCATCTGCTCCAATGGTAATGTTAGAAGTAAACCTGCCTTCACTGTTCCTTTCAAAGCGTCGAAACAGCAAAAGCTTTGAAATATATTATGATTAATTCCTTAATTAATGCCCATTATTCTTGGTTCTTCTAATACTATCAGATTTCCTCAACTCTTTAAAAAATTGTCAAATTTGTAACAAAAGTGGGTGAAATGGCTCTTTTATTTATACTTTTAAGTCTTAACTTGTGGTTCATTGCTTCTGAGGCTGCCTAAGTTTTGGTTATTATTTATAAATGTACCTGTTTCCTTAATTACACAAATTAAATCAGTTACACAAGTTAACATATGCCTATATCCTAAAACAAAAGAAATGGACTTGCCAGACAGTGATGTGGCTATAAAGTAAGATTTCCTCTACTGAGTTGACACTTCTGATCTAAATGTTACCTGTTGCCATTCACCACGAGAATTATTAATTCCAGCATCCTAACCATTATCAATGCCTAAATTCAATTAAAAAAATCAGCTTCTTTAGGTTTAATATCAATAATGCATTAATTTACTGACAGTGGTGCTAACAAATTAGGGAAATTTAGTTATTAGCACATACATACACATACACACTTCTGAAGAACTGAAATCAAACTACTACAGGCATTCTTGGTACACCTAAATGATCGCATTTAATAGGAAATTATCCTGTTTACAAAAATCTCTTATGATAAAGGTCCTTAAGTATTCCTCTCGTAAATTTTCACTATCAGAAACATTTTCATGATTTTTCATGAAACCACTGGGTTGTATTGTAATGTTATCAATAGCCAACTTAAACTTGTATTTTCTTAATTTATGTTGTGTAAAACACCTTGTCACTGTCCTCCATGCAACAGAACTTGATGTAGAATCAGTTATTAAATCTCCTCTTAATTTTCTCCTGCTGAATAATTCCAGAGCCTTTACCCTAGGCCAATGATTAGCAGTCATTCCTATGTATAGGCTGGGAAAGCACTAAGTTTATCTTTTAAAAATAAAGAATAAAGGTGGGGGAAGGGGCAGAGTTGCTGTTCCTTTTTATAATTCTTGTTAAGTGATATTCAAGTTTTCATGGAGGATTAACTCTTGTAAGACATATTCCTTTGTGTCTAAATTGACTTGGGTCAGCTTTTAAGTCTTTAAAATAGTTTCTTCTCACATTAGCTGTGAATAATAATTTATATTTATAATAATAAATGCAACTAGTGTTTATGAATGCTTCTGAGAAACTTAACTGATACTGTTGGATCAACTAGTAGTGATGCTAAGTGGCTGTGAGCATCAGATAAGATAGCATATGTGAAAAGTAGCTTTGCAAACTGTAAAGGACTTCAAAGGTTTGCCCATGGTAATAATATTTCTTTCTGTAAAGTATCTGAGCTGCTTCATTCAGTAAAAGGTATCACAGAGTTAAAAAAAAAAAAGTGGGACTACTGAACTCTAATAAGAAAGAATAGTAACCCTAGTCAGACAATTCCTTACAACAGTGGTTTCCACATCTTTTTTGATTATACACCTTACCAATAATAAAATGTTGAGTGCATAATCCCATAAATTTCTGTTTACTTATAAATTATATACTTCTATATAATATGTTATGTACATTATACAACAATCGTAAAAAATTAAAGGGTGAAATAAAAAGTAAATTTACAGTGCACCCCAGTGGATTCTTTTGTGTCCCTCTCTTGCGCATGTCTCTTCCACCTTGGAACACTGGAGGTCTTCATCAGTTGTGTAATTAAGGTTGACATTGATACAAAAGCACATTTAACCTCTTTCTTGGTTTTTAGCACCTTTTCTCATGTATTTTCTGATTCAAGTGTTAGAATATTCTATCTTTTAAGATTCCCTTGTCTTTTGTTGAATCTCAGTATTACAGTTTAAAATACACAGTACTGATCAGTCTTACAGAAAAGCATATAATGCATTAAAACAGTTTATTTTACAAAGTAGCTTTTTCCTGGAATAAGTAGTATTTTGACAATGTTCTGGTTTAGGAAGTCCATCCACATTTTCTGAATCTTCTTTAACCTCTTTCCTTTCTTTCATTTGTAACCTGGCAATTCAGATACAGTTTGAGATCTGTAAAACTCTGTTTATCACCAGAAAGCCTCTAGACAGTACAGTAAAAACAAAATGGAATTCTATTGCTAAAATAGATTCAGAGTTTAGAAGAAAACAAACTTTCTCAAAGACATATGCTCTTAGACTAGTGTACATCAACTCATTTCTCTAGTCCTTGGAGCAAAACATTTTTTTCTGTGTTCCTTAAGGGAGTTGGGAGAAATTAGAATGAATCTTGTTTTTTATAGCCAACTCTTGGTTATCCATGAATTACTGGAGTACACATTTTTAAAAAGTATTTTATTTAAGCTTGTATCACCACTAGTTGCTATACTACAGTATTATATTCTCCTGTCTTGCCCATTTTGAGTATGGATCCTAATTCAGAATTAAAATGGACCAAAGTTAACCAGCAGAAGAGAGATTAAAAAAGCATTTAACCTGCATATAAACTAGACACATCTTGAGCACTGATGCGCTTTATAACTGTTATAATATTTCTTTGGTTAAAACTGTAACCAAATCAAGTAAAATTTTGAAATATAGAACAAGGTGATCAGCACTGGTATTGAAGTTTGTAATACATTTTTTTCTTTAAGATATAAAATACTGGAATATATTGGTACTCAATAAATGGTGGTGGTCATTAGAAACTTATTTTGCTGCCTTTTCTGGATATTTTATGCAAATGGAATGATATAATATGTAGTCTTTTGCTTCTTTTACTTTGTATGTTTTTGAAGCTTAGCCATATTGTAGGACGTATCAGTATTTTGTTCCTTCTTATTGCTGAATAGCATTCCATGATAGACACCTGGGTTGTTTACTTGTTATTAATAATGCTGCTACGAACACTTACATATAAGGCTCTTTGTGGACATATGTTTTCATTTCTCTTGGGTAGATTCCTAGGAGTGGAACCACTGAGTTGTATGGTAAGTTTATGTTTAATGTTTTAAGAAATTACCAAGCTGTTTCCAGAGTTGCCTCACTGTTTTATATCCTCGCCAGCAGTGTGTGAAGGTTCCAATGTTTCGATATCTTCACCCACACTTGTCTATTTTATTAGCCATTTTAGTGGATGTTAAGTAGTATCTCATTGTGAATTTAATTTGCATTTTCCTAGTGATCCAACTGATTTTTAAATTTGCTAGTTATACATGCCGAGTGTTCCTATAGAAATAACTTCCTATTAATCCTTTATTTATTAATATTTTTTATACCCTTTGCATTCCGAAAGCAGAATCCAAACA